CGGTCACTTGTACATTTTTTTGTCTTGTGTACTATACTGAATACTATAGCTGGCCAAATGGGTCATTTTTTTGGGGCCGGCCCGTGAGCACGCCGGCACGGCCCGCCTTGGGCCAGGCACGACACGGGCTAAACGAGCCAGGCCCGGCACGCGGCACGCCCTGGGCCATGCCTGGGCCTGGAGGTTGGGCAGGCGGGCCGGCATGGCACGACCCGATTACGTTTTATTTTTATTTTTTATACATATATATGGTCCAATATGTAAAAATAGGCTAAAAAACGCTCAGCGCGTCAAATAACAAGCTGAAAATATGCGGCCCACCATGCTAAACGGGCCAATGTGCCGGCCCGTTTACTAACTGGGCTGTGCCTGGGCCTGGGGGCGCAGCACGCGGGCCGGCACGACACGGCCCGTATAGTAACCATGCCCTGGCGGGCTGTGACAGGCCAGACACAATTACGATGGGCCGGGCCGTGCCAGGCCGGGCCGGCCCGTTTGGCCAGGTATGCTGAATACGGCATGATCAATCCAATAATACATCTTTGTGTAGCACATCAGACACGCGGGAGCTATATCTCGCTTATAGCAAGATGGTAGCTCTCCTCGGCCATAGCACCCCCACATATTGGCCGGCCCGTTAGCGTGTTCTCACGCTCGCTAGTCTTCGCTCATTTGCTTCGGTCGTTCGGTTGAGTGTAGATTTTGTTTTAAGTTGTTTTTTTTTGTACAATGACCGGAGAGGTCCGTTTTTGGTGGGTTTGTTATCTTTCCGTTTTCCAAGTTTTTCTTACGGTTTTCATTGTTTATTTGGTTTTCACTGTTTTTTGGTTTCTCTTTGTTTTTCATTCTGGTTTTCTTTCTTTAGTTTCTTTTTGTTATGTTGGGCCTCTAGGATAGTCTTCACAAATGTCATTCACCGAGGATAGATATCATCCACATGGTAGTATCCCATAATGTAGTTGTGTCCGTTGACGGTGTAGTTGGATGTCGGGTTGGATTTGAAGTAGTCGTATACATGATTAACATTTTTGAGATATTTTTTTATGTCTATCTTTAAATAGAGATTGTACATTTTTCATGTACATAAGAAACATTTTTATTAACACGTTAAAAATGGTTAACATTGTTGAAGCATACTGTAAATTTTTTATACATATCAAACATTTTTTATACACATTAACATTTTCAAATACTTGAGTAACATTTTTTCCTACACGTGGAACATGTTTTGATTTTCACAAACATTTTTTAAAAGGCTACCAACATTTTTTATAATAAATTAACAATGTTTGAATTAACCGTTTTCGAAAATTAAATTAAATTTAGGTTTTCAAACATATTCATTTAAAATATTAAAAATAAGAAGGAAAAGGAGAAAAAGAAATTAGCAAAATGTCAGAATGACGATGACACTTCATTACAGGGCCGGCAGATCGGCGGCTCCTGTTACCCTGTAGCGTGAGCGTGGGCGAGGCTGGCTAGCACCTCGCGTTATGCCATGCGTAATTACGCCCCATCAGACAAGGCACGCTGGAGATTTTCTTTCTTTTGTTTTCTTTTAGGGTCACACATATTTTAATTTTTTGAGATAAACTAGCACATATGTTCATGCGTTGCAACGAGAGTGAAAATTAGCGTGTTCACCAGTGTGGCATAATAGTATCCAGAAGGTATCAGGCGCGAAGACGCACTTCAAGCTCTAAAAGAAATGCATATCAGTCAGGCATTAATCATGCAACAACCCTTAACACGGTACTAAGGATCAAATAATTCTCCTTATAATCCTACCATCTATGCTTAGTTAGCTTTACACCTCCGCACATTCAACTTGTAGCACACTGATTGACCTCGCTACGACACGCTTCCGACTTGTAGCAGTGGCGGTCATCCTTGTTGTGTCCATGTGGTCGGCTTTGCTGCGTTGTCTATATGACTTGTTGTCTTGGCATCATTTATGTAACTGGTTTTGTAGCATGGGGGTCCAACTTCCCAATAGAAAAATAATAGGGGCGACTGGTGTTACATTGGTGTGCTTCCGGATGTAGCAAGCAATTGGCCTTCTAATGTTGTGTTCTGCTTTGACCAACAGCGGCGGGCCTAAAACTGTTGTGTGTGCTGTTTACAGCAACAATGCTTGATCAAAAATTGGATGTAGATTAACCAAGTATTTTTTTTCAAAAAAAGTAAAACTTAGTAGCGGCAAAAACACCGAGAAATAAAAACATTGTTTTACACATTGAAAAGGTTAACATGCCGCCCAAAAAACAAAGCTGACGGCATGTCGTTTGCTTCTTTTTTCGTTTTTGAGTAGTTCGCGAGCAAGACCCGATTGATCCCATGGAAAGAAGATAGCAGTATCTCTCGTGTTGCACACATCTTGGGGGTTGTTTTGTTAGTGCGCATTAAGATTCGGCCATCACTCACTAGCTATATATACAACTCCAACCAAGTATCTTATATCTTTTGTTAGTTATATTCAGCCATACCATACACTCCATGGGACATGCAAGCACATCCCAAGCCTAGAATTCAGCCATACTTCCCACATTTCCATTTAGAGCCAACATTTAATTCTTTCATCAGACTCTATTCCAACAATTTCATTTTAATTAGAGCCAACCTTAATTCCTTCACTCCCGCACCATACCCTTCGTTGGGCTTGATGATTACTTGACAACTATCCAACGTATATAAACCGGTGGATTTTTGTGGATCAAAGCGAGGTGGGATAAATATTCAAGTGAACCCTCTCTATCTAAAAAAATGTTTGTGCATTTTAATAAATTAAAAAAATGGTTGTGTTTTCGTATTTGTACATAAATTAAAAAATGTTCTAGATTTTCAAAGTTCGTTTGGAATGGTTTTGTCCTATTTTTACAACTTTTTAAAAATGTTGAGAATTTCAGAAAATGTTCCAGTTTTCAGAGATTGTTCACAAATCTTAAAGATAGTCATGTTTTCATTTTCAGGAGTTTCAAATAATGTTCCCGTTTCCAAAATTGTTTGAAAATGTGTTAAAAACGTTTTTTCAAATTTGTATTGGGTTTTTTCAAAAATTGTTTGGAATGTTTTTGTTCAAAATTTTCACAAGTTTTTAGAATTTCTATTGGAATTTCAAAAAAATGTTCCCGAATCCACAAATTGTTCCATTTTTTAAATGTTCATGTTTCAATTTCTTTTCCGGAGTTTCAATTTTTTTGTGTTCCCAAATTTGGTCGCAAATTTCAAAAAATGTTTGCATTTTCACATTTTTTTTGGAATTAAAAAAATGTTCCTATTTGAAAACAATGTTCATGATTTTCAGAAAATTTTCGTATTTTAAAAAATGTTTCATTTTTTCCTAAATATGTTTACAAATTTGTAAAGTGTTTGCGCTTCACAAAACATTCTGGTATTTTTTCAAAAATAGTTCATATCGAAATATAACAAAAATTCATATCTGCGCTGGAGATTAATTCTTAATATTTTCACTGCTTTATAACCAGTAAAGCTCGGTAGGTCAACTGGTTGGAGTCTTATGTTTGTAATATGACATCCTAGGTTTGATCCCCACAAGCACATCTTTTTTTTGGAGCTACAGTATATCTTTCAGCCTATCCTTATCTTCATGGGCCGGCCTAGACGTTCGAGAAAATCACAGACAAACGTAAAAAAGAACCCCAGTGTCCCATGACGGACGAAAATTAGGTAGGTCCCATCGTAAATGGAAAATTACCATGGGACAAAGAATATTATGACCGAACCAAGAATACCTATTCCCTTTAATAGTAGGTAGGTATAGGTATATGTATAGATTAGGGTCACAAATATAATATTCTTTTCTTGGACCTCCTATTTCGCGCATAAGGCGACGTGAGACGCCCAAACGCGCAGCCGTCCCTGTGCTTTTGGGCCGGCCCAAGTACGGGGCGGGGTGCCTCTGTGTTTGTTTTTTCGTTTTCCTTTTTTGTATGTTTGCTTATATATAAAATATTAATATTCAAAAAGCGTTCACTAATAATTTATATTTTAGAAAACATCATAAAATTTTAAAAATATTCCTAATTTAGAAAACACTCCACATTTCAAAAATATGCACAAATTAAAGAAATGGTCCTTTAATTTTTTAATAAGTTTATGAATTTAGAAAAACATTCTTAATTTTAGGATTAAAAAAAAAATTAAAGTTAACAAAATGAATTCAAAAACTGTTTGGAACTTCCCTAAATTTAAATGTAGTGTCAGAAGCACACAGTAAAAAGACCATCTCGTTAGGTCTTGCTAGCTACATCTACATGTAGTCCATAGGGTCCAGGTCATGGCCTCAAACGCTACCAAAAATGGCGCCTCCTCCTGTCAGTACGGTTGGCCTGACAATGACAAGCTGCTGCCGTTGTATACTATATCCAGCTGATCGATGAGCTCTATGAACAATTTACGATACCTTGACAAGCTGCTGCCGCTGTACCAGCATCAATATGCTATATCCAGCTCCCAATATCTGGGATTATTAAATCCATCACGACTATTTTTAGTACTCCCTCTCGTTCGTTTTTATAAGGCGTTTACAGCTGGGTTTGAACTGTTTAGTACACTGTCTGAATTTGCTAAAACGTCTTATATAAGTGAACAGAGGGAGTAAAAGAATTTGAACGGGGGGCCGGCGCCAATCATGCACCCATTCATCTAACACCGTCTACAGAGAGGATTTGATCGGCCAGATGGATTTCGTAGAAAAACGTGGAGCGAGTCAGTGCGATGGAGTCTTGAGTCCATCCATCCATCCATCCAGAGGGACAAGAAAGACAGGCGATTTGGGCGAAGGAATCCATGGAGAGAGGCAGCCTCGGCGTGGCCGGCCATCCGCGCCACCGCTGACATGACATATGGAGGCCCGTCGGCTGTCGCTGTCGCCATTGCCGTGTACTCTTCCAAGTCCCAAGCAACGCAAACTCTGCGACCATCTCCGGTCTCCTATACAAGCCCACCCCGGCCAGTAATCTGGAACGCCACCAGCCACCATGGGAGAAGCACAAGCAGCAGCAGCGGCGGCCACCATGGGAGAAGATACCCAGAGCAAGGGGGCGGCAATGGTGGTGGTGCCTGCGCCGCGGCCGCGCAAGGGGGTGGCGTCCTGGGCGGTCGACCTGCTCGAGCGGCTCGCCGTCCGCCTCCGTCACGACGACAAGAAAGCCGAGCCCATCCCCTGGCTCTCCGGCAACTTCGCCCCCGTGCCGGACGAGACCCCGCCCGCCGCCGGCCTCCCCGTCCGCGGACACCTCCCGGTCAGCATCCCTCTCCCTCCCTCTCTTCATCCTTTGTTTCTAGAGCAAATCACCATTTTCTCCAGCATTTTTTCAACTAATAACAACAACCTCTACGCTGATTTGCTGACATTTTTCTTGGAGCCATGCATGCAGTGCAGCCCTCTAGATAATCCTTTCTTTTCCTTTCCTCATGGTGATCCTTATTTTGTTATCTGCAGAAGTGCTTGAATGGAGAATTTGTCAGGGTGGGGCCTAACCCCAAGTTTGCCCCTCTTGCAGGGTATCATTGGTACTAACTCTTACTTGTTGACAATTTTCCTTCCAACAATTGAGGGCCACATTTCTAATTTTGGTGTTTGTGTTTTCCTTTTTTTGCAGGTTTGATGGGGATGGGTACGTGACACAATCCCTTTCTGTTTGGAATATTGTATATCTAGTCGTACCGGTTGCGTGCACGTTCATTCTCTCCCGTTTTCAATACAGTTCTACAGCTCACTATTTGCTGATAAAGTCAAGCCTTAATCTATTATGATTCAAACTTTGGCTTCATGATTGCATCAACTTTTACATTGTTTCTTACAGAATGATCCATGCAATGCGCATTAAAGATGGAAAAGCTACATATGTATCAAGATATGTGAAGACTTCTCGCCTCGAGCAAGAAGAGTATTTTGGTGGAGCAAAGTTTACCAAGGTAAGCTTACGTGTTTCACTAAAAAGCCTTAATGTTCTTACCAGTTTACCAAGGTAATCTTACGTGCCGCCATCTCCAACTATGCTCCTTTTTCCACGGGAAATGCTCCAATTTTCTTATTCATGCTTGCAACTTTCTTACTTTCTTTTAAGTAAGATTCTAATATATACCGTACATGTGTATGACTTAGTCCACCACTAAAACCCCATCTCTTCCAAATCTTGTGGGTTTAGTGATGGCTATATAAGAAATCGGTTGTGCACACACATGAGTTTTTTTCCTTCAATCTTTACAGATTGGAGATCTAAAGGGTGTTTTTGGATTGTTTATGGTTCTAACACAAGAACTTAGGAAGAAACTTAAAGTCTTAGATGCTACTTACGGAATTGGAACAGGTACTTCTTAACCTTAAGTAGTCACTGAATGATGTATATCTACATATGTTTCATGGGCATTTTATTTAGTGGTATTTTTTTGATTTGCTCCCTTCTTTTCCAGCTAATACTGCGCTTATATATCATCATGGCAAACTCATGGCCCTGTCAGAATCAGATAAACCTTGTAAGTTAGTCTGTTAGCACAATTTGCTTCTATAATAGATCATGGCCCACACATTGTTGTGGGCATGATAATACCATATACTTTGCATGATAAACGGCACATGGCAAATGTGAAGCATGAGTTTCTATTTTTGTTTTTCAGATGTTGTTAAGATCCTTGAAGATGGAGACTTGCAAACTCTTGGTTTGTTGGATTATGACAAAAGGTTGAAACATCCTTTCACTGCTCATCCAAAGGTTGATCCATTCACAGGTACATTACGGTGAAAACATACCATTTCTTACTTACATTCATGAAAATTGGGTTAAATCATGTAGTTTTTATCTTTCTTTCAGATGAAATGTTCACCTTTGGGTATTCGCATGAACCTCCCTATTGTACATATCGGATCATCACCAAGGACGGAATTATGCTTGACCCTGTGCCAATAACAATACCGGAATCTGTAATGATGCATGACTTTGCCATTACAGAGAACTATTCCATATTTATGGACTTGCCAATGTTTTTTCGACCAAAGGTACATGATGATTTATGTATAGGATGGTAAATGACATTAATAATAAGTGGTTTCCGTAGGATTTCCCCCCTATACCATTTCTTTTCATCATGTTGAAGGATGCCATAGTCAACATTTGTTTGACGGTTGCATATGATCAACATATGTTTGCATCAACGATTGATAAATGGTTAATACTCCTCTTCATAACCTGGTCTTATTGTAACCTGATATGTTCCTGTATAAGGAAATGGCGAAGAATGGTGAATTCATCTACAAGTTTGATCCTACAAAGAACGCTCGGTTTGGTATACTCCAACGCTATGAGAAGGACGAAAAGACCATCAGATGGTTTGAACTCCCCAATTGCTTCATATTCCACAATGGTATGCCATCTCTAACATTTTTCTTGGACTCCGAATGTGCAATCTTTCTATATCATTTGTCATAATTCAACATAGCAAGGGAAATGATGAATATAAAATGTAAATGCAATTCTTTATTCTCCCAACAATGTTGTCTAGCACCATAGCATAAGAACTACTCCCTCCGTCCCATAATGCAAGACGTGTTTTGACTCTAGTGTAGTGTCAAAAAACATCTTACATTATGGGACGTAGGGAGTAAAATTGAAATAAACATGTTCAAGAGGATGAATTAAGTTCAACATCAGTTCCTTGAGTTAATTTTTAGCATTGTCCACGCAAAACCAAAAAATATAAGTTAATTTTGGGCAAGATCTAATTATTAATAATCCACCCGAAAACAGTCAGATGAATATATAAATAAGAGAGTCAAATCCATCTTGCTTCTTTGCTAGAGCACATATCAATCGACGAATTGCAGTAATTATTTGTATTATTCATTCCATGCTAATATTATTGAACTAATCACAAGAAGCATATTTCTTCTCGCAGCTAACGCCTGGGAAGAGGGTGACGAAGTTATTCTGATTACATGTCGTCTCAACAACCTAGATTTGGACCAAGTGAATGGTCACCAAAGTGACAAGCTTGAGGATCCCGGGAATGAGTTGTATGTATACCCACAATACATACCGTTTATTTTAATTCCATGCAACCCACTACTTGCCCTAATGTTATATCTTTCAGGTACGAGATGAGATTCAACATGAAAACAGGTGCTGCTTCGCAGAAACAACTATCAGTATCTGCCATAGACTTTCCTCGGATCAATGAGAGTTATACTGGCAGGTACTTATACTGGAGGTCTCACTTCAAAGTTTGTTTTGTTCTATGATGCATATACCATAGAAATCACTATTAACACATGATAAAACTTTCATTTCAAAGTAAGATTCCTTGTCGGAACTATCAAACTTCATCTCATATGTTATCTTTTTGAATGCAGAAAGCAGCGGTACGTCTACTGCACGATACTTGAGAGCACAGTGAAGGTGACTGGCATCTTAAAAATGATTGGCATCATAAAATTTGACCTACATGCGGAGCCAGAGAGCGACAAGGAGCAGCTTGAAGTTGGGGGGAATGTGAGGGGCATATATGACCTGGGGCCTGGTAGGTTTTGTTCGGAGGCGGTCTTCGTGCCCAAGGAGCCTGGTGTTTTAGGGGAAGAAGATGATGGGTACTTGATATTCTTTGTGCACGATGAAAACACAGGGTACTCCTTTCATTTCCTACATCACTAAGGCAAGATGGTACTGCTACATGGATGCAGGAAATCTAAAGTTAATGTGATTAATTTTGTTTTCTTTGCGTGCACTGTGGATGCAGGAAATCTGAAATAAATGTGATTGATGCCAAGACGATGTGTGCTGATCCAGTGGCGGTTGTTGAGCTGCCGAGCCGGGTTCCTTACGGATTCCATGCCTTCTTTGTCAATGAGGTACTTTTCGTCTTGAAATGTGTAATCACTACGAGATATATTGGTAGCTGCTTTGTGTTGATGAAAAAAGAAACCAATGTTTGTGTTATTTTGACAGGAACAACTAGGACATCAAGTAGAGCGGTGAAGAGGGATAAAAACGAAGCATTAGATGAAGATTTTTTTGCTGTTGTAATGGTATGCCCGATGTAGTATCTTTATGTGTGCCAGATCAGTAGGTTGTGAAGGGTTTCACTTAGTTTTTTGCCAATTAACTGGGAAAATATCTACTTCTTATTTAGTGAAAATGGCAAGTATTTTGCCTTGTTTAAAAATATATAAAGGAAAGTAGCATGTTCTACATGTTGTAGAAATAAAGGAAAGTAGCATACATATACATTAATATATAGAAGTAATTAGTGTACTCAAATGTTTGTACGGTGATTGAATCAACTGACACAAGGAACGAGCTAGTAAATTTGATACAAATTCTGATAAACCTAGACGGATCATCCAGATGGCTCTACCTAACACTGCGCACGGTAGATGGGCCCTCAATGGGGACTCTCTTTGTCTTCGGGCCCCTTTCTGATTTGGAAAAAGAGAACCCAGTAGCCAAGGTCGGGGATTTCATTAGTAGACATGATTGTATATACCCACTCTTTAACTACACAGTACGCTGCATGGGTATGAAGTTTATTTAGATGTTTTCTTCGGGGACTCATTCACATCGCTCCGGTCCCAATCTGCTGGCAAGGATATTGCAAAAGATCTTGACAACACTATGCATTATGCTAATTGGCCTAAAACCAGAGGCCATCCGTGCAACTTTTTTTGGAACTAAATTATATTTGCCCCATTAGGAGCTTCCATTGATTGGCCCTCAAGTCTGACCGTTTGCCTAGTTTCCTAAAAAAGATCATCTTCAATCATACGGTGGAAACACTTGAAGAATGCACTAATAAAAATGTCTAGACCTTGTGCCTGTTCAGTATCGTGATTAGTTAGGAAAGATAGGATAGCGTAAGATTTATTCTACCTTGTCTTGTACTTCAAGTTGATCATGTACTCCTATATATATGCCCACGAGGCTCAAACAATGCAATAACAATTCCACCAAATCCCCCTCTACCTTTCTATATGGTTTCTTACCTTCTGATTCTTCTCCAGTCTCAGTATTTGCATCCCTACCGTTGTGATTGCGGGGTGTGTTGAGTACCGTAATTAGTTAGGAAGATAGGATAACGTAGGATTTATTCTACCTTGTCTTGTACTCCAAGTTGATCATGTACTCCTATATATATGCACACAAGCCTCAAGCAATACAACAACAATTTCACCAAATCCCTCTCTACCCTTCTATAGTGTCTTCTCCTCATGCAAGTCAAAGACAACAACATTTAACTCATCTCTAGTAATGTTAGCTTCAAGGTGATGGAGGTCGGTGTAAGGGCATATTTCTCCCTATATGGTTTTGGTGATTGATGACAGTGCATTTGCGGACTCACCGTGTGCATTGAGCATTTCAGATATCTCATGTCTAGGCATACGACGATTCGGTGCCCCTCGGAGCATATCGAAGACGGCGGTTTTTCTACGTTTCTTTTCGATGGATTTTGAGTCATAGGAAAGCCGTACTATCAAGAGGGGGTTCACTTCGGAAAGGTTAGGGTGGAATCAACACGTACACATCTATTTCTTTGCACCACCTTTCCTTCGCTGCATTGGAACAAAGACGGCGAGATGAAGGCCTCCAAGTGCTATAGGTTCTGTGGCATGCGGTAGTACTGCTCAAGGGAGCAGTAGTACCGTAGGGGCTTGCGGTAGTACCGCCTTGGCTTGCAGTAGTACCGCGCCCCGTGGTAGTACCGCTCCTCGCGAGCGTTAGTACCGCTGTCTCTAGTCCAGAACGCTGGCGCACGCGGAATTAGGCGTGGAAGTAATTTTTTACTTCCGTCCCTACGTGGTAGTACCGCTCCCTGCGAGCGGTAGTGATAACCCACAAGTATAGGGGATCACAACAGTTTTCGAGGGTAGAGTATTCAACCCAAATTTATTGATTCGACACAAGCGGAGCCAAAGAATATTCTCAAGTATTAGCAGCTGAGTTGTCAATTCAACCACACCTGGAAACTTAATATCTGCAGCAAAGTATTTAGTAGCAAAGTAATATGATAGTAGTGATAACGGTATCAAAAGGTAACCGTAGTAAAAGTAATATTTTGGTATTTTGTAGTGATGATAGCAATAGCAACGGAAAAGTAAATAAGCGAAGAACAATATATGGAAAGCTTGTAGGCAATGGATAGGTGATGGAGAATTATGCCGGATGTGGTTCATCATGTAACAGTCATAACCTACGGTGACACAGAACTAGCTCCAGTTCATTGATATAATGTAGGCATGTATTCCGAACATAGTCATACGTGCTTATGGAAAAGAACTTGCATGGCATCTTTTGTCCTACCCTCCCGTGGCAGCGGGGTCCTTACGGAAACTAAGGGATATTAAGGCCTCCTTTTAATAGAGAACCGGAACAAAGCATTAACACATAGTGAATACATGAACTCCTCAAACTACGGTCATCATCGGTAAGTATCCCGATTATTGTCACTTCGGGGTTAACGGATCATAACACATAATAGGTGACTATAGACCTGCAAGATAGGATCAAGAACACTCATATATTGATGAAACCATAATAGGTTCAGATCTGAAATCATGGCACTCTGGCCCTAGTGACAAGCATTAAGCATAGCAAAGTCATAGCAACATCAATCTCAGAACATAGTGGATACTAGGGATCAAACCCTAACAAAACTAACTCGATTACATGATAGATCCCATCCAACCCATCACCATCCAGCAAGCCTACGATGGAATTACTCACGCACGATGGTGAGCATCATGAAATTGGTGATGGAGGATGGTTGATGATGACGATAGCGACAGATTCCCCTCTCCGGAGCCCCGAACGGACTCCAGATCAGCCCTCCCAAGAGGTTTTAGGGCTTGGCGGCGGCTCCGTATCGTAAAACACGATGATTTCTTCTCTCTGATTTTTTTTCATCGAAACTTAATATATGGAGGTGGAGTCGGAGAGGCAACAGGGGGCCCACGAGGTAGGGGGGCGCGCCCTAGGGGGGGAGGCGCGCCCCACCCTCGTGGCAGGACGGTGGCCCCCCTGGCCTTCATCTTTGGCAGGTATTTTTCTTATTTTCTGAAAAGTGTCTCCGTGAAGTTTCAGGTCATTCCAAGAACGTTTGCTCCTGCACATAAATAACACCATGGTAATTCTGCTGAAAACAGCGTCAGTCCGGGTTAGTTCCATTCAAATCATGCAAGTTAGAGTCCAAAGTAAGGGCAAAAGTGTTTGGAAAAGTAGATACGTTGGAGACGTATCAACTCCCCCAAGCTTAAACCTTTGCTTGTCCTCAAGCAATTCAGTTGACAAACTGAAAGTGATAAAGAAAAAATTTTACAAACTCTGTTTGCTCTTGTTGTTGTAAATATGTAAAGCCAGCATTCAAGTTTTCAGCAAAGATTGTAACTAACCACATTTGCAATAACGCATAGGTCTCAAGTTTACTCATATCAATAGCATAATCAACTAGCGAGCCATAATAATAAAACTTGGATGACAATACTTTCTCAAAACAATCATAATATGATATAACATGACGGTATCTCGCTAGCCCCTTTTGAGACCGCAAAATATAAATGCAGAGCACCTTTAAAGACCAAGGACTAACTAGACATTGTAATTCATGGTAAAAGAGATACAGTCAAGTCATACTCAATGTAAACTAACAGTAATGAATGCAAATGACAGTGGTGCTCTCCAACTGGTGCTTTTTAATAAGAGGATGATGACTCAGCATAAAAGTAAATAGATAGGCCCTTCGCAGAGGGTAGCAGGGATTCGTAGAGGTGCCAGAGCTCGGTTTTGAAACAGAGGTGAATAATATTTTGAGCGGTATACTTTCATTGTCAACATAACAACCAAGAGATGGCGATATCTTCCATGCTACACACATTATAGGTGGTTCCCAAACAGAATGGTAAAGTTTATACTCCCCCTTCCACCATAAGCATCAATCCATGGCTTGATCGAAACAATGAGTGCCTCCAACTAACAAGAGTCCCAGGGGGAGTTTTTTTTGCAATTATTTTGATTTAGTTTGCATAAAACATGGGACTGGGCATCCCGGTGACCAGCCATTTATCTCGTGAGTGAGGAGCGGAGTCCACTTCTCTTGAGAATAACCCGCCTAACATGGAAGATACAGACAACCCTAGTTGATACATGAGCTATTCGAGCATACAAAACAGGATATTTATTTGAAGGTTTAGAGTTTGGCACATACAAATTTACTTGGAACAGCAGGTAGATACCGTATATAGGTAGGTATAGTGGACTCATGTGGAATAACTTTGGGGTTTAAGGAGTTTGGATGCACAAGCAGTATTCCCGCTTAGTACAGGTGAAGGCTAGCAAAAGACTGGGAAGCGACCAGCTAGAGAGCGACAACGGTCATGAACATGCATTAAAATTAATCAACACTGAATGCAAGCATGCATAGGATATAATCCACCATGAACATAAATATCGTGAAGGCTATGTTGATTTTGTTTCAACTACATGCGTGAACATGCGCCAAGTCAAGTCACTTAAATCATCCAGAGGAGGATACCACCCTATCATACCACATCATAACCATTTTAATAGCATGTTGGCATGCAAGGTAAACCATTATAACTCATAGATAATCAAGCATGGCATAAGAAACTATGATCTCTAGTTGTCATTGCAAACATGTTTATTCATAATAGGCTGAATCAGGAACGATGAACTAATCATATTTACAAAAACAAAAGAGGTCGAGTTCATACCAGTTTTTCTTATCTCAGCCAGTCCATCATATATCATCATAATTGCCTTTCACTTGCATGACCGAATAGTGTGAATAATAATAATAGTGCACGTGCATTGGACTAAGCTGGAATCTGCAAGCATTCAATAAACAGGAGAAGACAAGGCAATATGGTCTCTTTTGTCAGATCAACAATAATGCATATAAGAGCCACTTCAACAATTTAATCATGGTCTTCTCCTATCGACCCCCAAAGAAAAGAAAAGAAATAAAA